TTACTCCATCCACCTGCCTTTGGGTTTGTGAATTAGGGTAGAATTGTCAGAATGCTCCTGCAATTGTCTCTCCATTAGCCCACCAACAATGAGAAACTACACACATCTGTCATGCCTTATAAATAACTCAACCGTTGCATTCCAATTATTTCCACATAAATTCTCATATAGGCAGGTTACATAATGCACTAAGCAGATTTAAAGTGGAGCATGTTTGTCCTTCATCCAGTCATTTCTCTTGTTGGGATTTTTGGGAACAAAGGGTTCATTATCACTTCTTCAAGTAAGAGCACATTTCATGTCTCAAATACGAACACAATGACACTTAACAGATAATTATTACCAAATACCCTACATTGTCTTAATTATGAGTGTGTAACTAAATAACATTTCCTGATCTGAATTCCACAAGCCTACCTTAATAGCCAGCAGCGGCACCCAAATCCTGTTCAGCTGGGAACTGAGGCACAGAAAGATAGTATTTCCAGCCATCTCCCCACCATGAGTGAGGCTTTCACCAATCAGGAGAAGTAATCCCTATCACAATTTTTTAATACAGGTTCATTTGCAGGCAGAAATCAGTTGGAAACCTCTTCCTCCTGCAGCCCAATCTCCAGCTGAACAAGCCACCCTTGCTCATTGTGGCTGCTGACTATTAAGGCAGGTTTGGAGGGGCATTTACAGTCATGGCAATAGTGCCATCATTGTAAATGCACACATAGTATTATTGAATATGGAGCCATTATACATGTGTCACTCCAGGTTACAAATCCATATCTGCAATATAGGATGCCAGGTTACATTTTTAAGTTCTGCAGCCATGCAGAAACTGGGCATAAGTTGCCAAGGCAGTTTAGATATATAACATATTTTGCCTGTTAAACCCTCCACATAGCCATATTTTATTTTTATTTTACCACTATGATGATCATCACCAGGAGCTCCCGGTGGCGCAGTGGATTAAACCCTTGTGCTGGCAGGACTGCTGACCAATACGTCAGAGGTTTGAATCTGGGTAGAGCAGGTTGAGCTCCCTCTGTCAGCTCCAGCTCCCCATGTGGGGACATGAGAGAAGCCTTCCACAAGGATGGTAAAACATCAAAACATCCGGGGGTCCCCTGGGCAACGTTCTTGCAGACTGCCAATTCTCTTACACCAGAAGCCACTTGCAGTTTCTCAAGTCGCTTCTGACATGCAAAAAAAAAGAGAGAGAGAGATCACCACCACTGTAATCATAATCATCTGTTCTTAACCCAACACCATAAAAACACAATTTGGAAAGTTGCTTTTTTGTAATACAATACCCAGAATCCTCTAATGAGCAGGTCCAGTGTGATTCTTACAACTTTATTTCATAAAAGTACTTTTCTGACATTTACATGAGATATGGATTTCTGTTTTTCCTCTAAGACAGATTTTCATAAGCAATTTTGTGATTTCTCTCAATATTGGTTCTACATTCTCCTATTAATTTCCCCTTGTTGTCCTACAAATACAGTGCTAAAGGTTACCATTGTTGACACTCTCCACAGCTCACCTTGCACCTGCCAACCATGAGCACGCTGCTCAGGCCCGTAGCCAGGATTTTGATTTGGGGGACGCTGAGTTTGATTCGGGGGGGGGGGGGGGGGAAAGAGTGAAGGAGGATCTACCCTAGCAAACCTTTTGTATCGTTACCCCAATACCCCCATGCATATGGGATATATTGAGCATGGTGATCAGATCATGATATGAATAAACATAACAGTGTAAATAATGTACCAGTAAGGCCTTCTCACGGACCACCCTGAGAATTTCGGGGGGAGGGGGCTGAATCAAGCCCCCCCCTCCCCCACGGCTACATGCCTGACGCTGCTATTCCTTGTTACTCTTAGTTCACCTGGTTGCTTTTAGTTCCTGGATCTACACTGCCCTGTATCCCAAGATTTGATCCCAGACAATTTGATTTTCTCAAGTCAGTTCCACATAGCTGTATAAAATCCACATTGAACAGGATTATATGGCAGTGTGGACTCAGATAATCCAGTTCAAAGCAAATGTTGTGGATTATTTGCAATGATATTCTGGGTTATATGGCTGTGTGGAAGGGACCCAGATTACCTGGTAGTGTTGACTCATATAATCCAGTTCAAAGCAGATAATCTAGGACCAGATTCTGGGATATAGGACAGTGTAGATCCAGCCTGAGAGTATAGCAACTTCAGACCTCTGCAACTGTCATGTCTCCATCCTGTGGAATTCCAGAATGCATAGTTTGGTGTACCACTTAGAATTCTCTACTCAAGAGCTCTAATGTAGTAGAAGGTCTGAGCAATACAATACTTAAAGTGTTAGTTCTCAGTCACACTGGAAGGTATAACAACATGGATGGTCTCCCAGTCCTTTAGCTGGTATAGTCACATACTGTATCACAGCCATAGTGCTAGATCTAGAACTTTACAACAACTTCCACGGGGATCACTGATAACTATAGTTCAAAAATTAATTCTAAACTCTCCATAGCATCATAAGGAAGCAAGCCACAAGCAGATAAATGTGAAGATGGGACTCATTATCAATCCAGTGATTTATAGTTCATTTATCTAAATAATTAAACTGCTGCTCACTGTACATGCCCCTGTACCCACCATGTAAAGCTAAAGCTGTAATTCTACATTGTATGGGGTATAAACTCTACTGGATTGAGGAAGATTTAGATCTGAGTAAGAATGCTCAGAATCGTAACATTATTTATATAGCACCATCAATGGTTCAAAAGATATCTGCTGCTGGTTCGATGGCTCACCCAAGCCAGATTGCGCACCTGTCACGACCGCACCGCTTTTGAAACTCAGGGAATTTTCAGAAGCAATTTATAACATGACACAAATTCTTTTCTATTCCAGAGGAGAAAGTTTTTAAAAACTCCTGCTGGGAATACATTAGCTCTTGAGTGCATTTAAAGTACTTCTTTCGATCCCAGTCTTTGCAAAGAACAAGCTTGATAATCTTGAATGATGTTTTTAAAAATCATAAGCAGAATGGAGTGTAGATTATACACCAAGAGAATTGAAGGATGGTAGCAAAGAAATCTAGATTGTTTTTGCTCTCAAAACAAGCTCCTTGCCTGAAATTGGTTGCTTTCACAAAAATTGTATTGAGCTGCTATGTTATGTTTGTTTATAAAAAAAGAAACAAGACAATTGATAGAAATTGTTTGTGATTTTTTAAAAGGACTCTTGGGTAGCAAAATGTTTTTAAAAAGCCATTTGCAGGGTTCTGAAATTCTCTTTCTTTTAAGCATCCCCATGCTTTGTATTATCTGGAAAAGTACAGTAACAAAAGTAATATTTCTTTTTTGTAAGTGTGTGTTTGTGCCATACTCTTGTTGAATTTCATATAGAAAACTCTGTATTGGTATTTAATAATGCTGCCCTTGAACAATTATGGTTGCAAAAGTTTCTACATCCACAAAAAAAATCTCAGATGCCAATTGTATTGTAAAAGGAAGTGTAATACTTTTTATGTTGCAGAATATAAGAACAGCCTTCATGGAGGGGATCAAATGTCTTTCTAGTCCAATAATGTGTTTGTACAGGAGCTAGTCAGTTGCTCATTATGAAGCCTAAAAATAGAACATGCATTCACATTCTGCTCATTCTCCCCAGGAACTAGTAACGAAACTGCTCCTGGCACTCTATAAGGGAAACACAGCCAGCATGACTAGTAGCCACTGTTACTAGCCAACCTCCATAAATATGTCCATTCCCCCTTTAAAGCTGCCCATGTTGCTGCTATAGCTATATATTATGGCAGAGAATATCACAGTTTAATGCAGTAGTGTGAGGAAGTGCTTTATTTATCTTCCCTGAATATTCTGCCATTCTGCTTCAATGGATAATCCTGGGCTCTGGTGTAAAATGAAGAAGGAGTCTGCTTTCATTCACTTTCTCCATACCATGCATACTTTTATAGCAAGGGTGGCCAAAGTATAGTATGGGTCTCGCATCAGCCCCTCACCAGTCTTTCCCAACTTCCTACCCATTTTTTTAAATCCATGTGGCAATTTTTGCTCCATGATGTAAGCTCTCCCAAACATTAAAGTAGCAATACCTCCAAGTCACCCCACAAGCACCCAAAACCCTATATTACACCCAAATAACTTTATTTTTCTCTTTAATCCCTCTTAAAATGGCAACAGGGCATCACTTCCTATTGCCATTTTGAGTGGGACAACAGAAGAAAAAGGAAGTATTTGGTTTTGCTTAGGGCAGTGGTTCTCAACTCGTGGGTCCCCAGATGTTTTGGCCTAACACTGGTAAACTGGCTGGGATTTCTGGAAGTTGTAGGCCAAAATGCCTGGGGACCTACAGGTTGAGAACCTGTGCTTATGGGAAGGTGAACCTGGCTTAGAGGAAGGTGAAGCCTGAAGAGAGGCTTGGGGAGAGCTGGTCCCTACACCCCAACATAGTTATCCACCTGACTTATGGCCTCCTATCATAAATTTCCTTACTTGCTCCAAGCATGCTTATCTTTCCTCACAGCAAAGTTGCTCCACAGCCCTGAGCATATGCCCTTTTTTGCAATTTACCCTTCTGTACAGTATATATTTTTCAGGTGCACTGACTACTAAGTAGGCAATAATATCCTGAGAGGATTATGGCATGGGAAATTTACATAAAATTTAATTTTATGTAATTTTCTCAATAAAAATGCACCTATCACAGAATTTTGTCCTTAGACACCAGAAGAAATAAGAAAAGCTTTGCTTCTATGGACTATACATGATAAGAGCCCTCCTACCGTTGGAAGATTTGTTCATTCAGTTCTTTCAAAAAGCTTCATTATCCAAAGTGATTTGCAAAGGTTTGTAAATTAGTGGGAAAGACAAGAGTTTTTCTTTTGCAGCAACGTGGGCAATTTTCATGTTACTAATTTCTTCCTCCCCTCCCTCCTTAGATCTCATTTTCTTTTACCTTGTACTCAGTGACAAATTTAGGAAATTAATGCCAAGAGACGGGTGTCCTTTGATCATTTATCAGAGAAGTTGTGTAGTAAAAAACATTTAGCTAAATATTAGAAGAATTGAACATCAAAAAGAAAGCGCTCATGATTTCATTGAAATACAGCAGAAGTGAGAAATTTGCTCAGAGCTGAGGGCACCCTTAGAAAAGCATTACGAGATAAAGAGATCCACAGCAAATCTGCATAACTTATGATGTTAACTGACACAATTTGCATAATATCTTAAGACGTACACCAGTTGCTGTTTTGGCCAACAGATTGCACTTCTGCCATGCAAACAGATACAATGACAGAGATGTTCACGCGTCACCTTGCAGCTGATCAGCAACAAGCATAAGGGATTTCAAGTGTCACTTTATGCCACAGAAAGGGATCAAGTAGAACTAGTTCATTCTGTCCAGTGACTGGTGGTTTTTCAACAGCAGAGGAAAAAAATCTCTAACTTTATCAGTCTTTCTAAGTATGCAGCACAATTAGCCTTAAGCACCAACTGTAGTTCAGTCTTTCAATATAATTACAAAAAGAGAGCACATATTTCGGTGAACAACATTAAACCCAAATTTCACTTTTGTTGCACATCTTTGGTTGTGGCAGTTTATTTTCATTTTGGAAGGGGTTTGGGCAGTTTTTGAATTTTGGTGGATCTATCTCATTAGATTAACATTCTGCATCACACAGTTTTATCCATCTGAAGCATTCATGGTCACGAGGCAATCACCTGCTCTTGCCTTTAATGTTGGCTAGGAATGATGCTCTTCAGATTTCTTTCGGGTCTCTGAGAAATTAGGACACACAGATGTAGCAATTCCGCATTTCTCTCATAGTGACAGGGAGCAGAACTTTTAAAAAATTGAATAAAAGTTGAGATACTCTATGAGTTCACAGGATGCAGAAGTCCCTCAGCAGCAGTTTGTTTGCCTAAACCATGGAAAAACAGAGACTATAGCTAAATGTAGATTTTGGAATACTGTTGGCTTCTAAGTTCATAGGCTTCAATCCCATTATTTCTCAGGGGTTCTTTTTCATCCACTGTGTCGATATCTTTCATCTGTGGGAAATAAGCAGGAGAAGCCTTGCATTCATAATGCCTATCAAGGGACTTCAAGTGTATCAGCATATGGAGAGCATAGGCCAGGACTAGAAGCAAGATCAGGGACATCACCAGGCCCATCAGGATTGCTGGTGGGAAGAGGGAGGCACAGTCTTTCGCATAAGCAAATTGCCCATCTTCTATGTTAAATCCTTGAATCTGTTAAAAGAATAAAATAAGAGCATGAACTAAAGATGCTTAATTGTTTTTGTTCCCACTGCTAATCAAGAAAGTGTTTCTTAACCTCGACCACATCATTTTTACCCTGACTATTTGTATTTTATTGTCATGTGCTGTCAAGAAATCCAATTATGAAGGGGAGGGGAAAGTGTGATTTTTTAAATGTTGTTTAATTGCAATTCTCATCAACCCTCACTATTTTACAATGCTGACTAGGGTTGATAATCCAACAACATCAACCACATGCACATTCCACCACTGCCATAATGAATTGAAGGACTACTGTAAAGCAAATGCTTTAGAGTGGTTGTTCTATATTTGGAAGAATTGGGGGCTCAATGTCCCTGCAAAAGTAGGAGAAGCATGGATATAAATAAATTTACAAATTCACTATTTCAGAAATTCACTATTTCTTAACCTGAGAGGACACTTCTCTAGCCATTTTTAGCTTCTCCTCCATGATTCCATGATCAACTTCCAGTGGTATATAACAATAGAATTGCACTGGAGTACCTAGAAATGCCTAGAGATAACATTTTTTTTCAATCACATATAAGGCAGCAACAGAGGCAATAGCAAATACAATAATCCAAGAATAATTAACCCACAAATGAAGAGGAACAGCTATATTACAGTGCAAGGGAAAGCTGTCCAGTATTAGCCGGGGATTCTGAGAATTGTGGTTCACAAAACCAACTTCCCAAGCTATACTTTTTGTGTAGTGACAGACAAGTACAAAGCTGAGTGGCACTATGTTCTAGATGTCACTGAAGTTCATGAATTCCAAGTCCAGCATGTGAATTCTGGCGGCTCATAATGCTTAATTTCAATATAGGGAGATCAATATTATGGGGGTTTTATGTTCTTATCCATCTCCATTTTTATTGGGAGCTGCAGACCTCTTCTCCAACCCTCAAATTCCACCTGATGTTGCTATGACCGCATCACATTGAAAGGAGAAAGCATGGGTGACCATCCCTTTAAGCGTAGAAAATCGCCCCTCTTACATTATCAGCAGTCCCATTTTGCTTTCTGCCTCCCCATCACTATCATACATGGAAACTTAAGAGCTGGTAATACATTCATCTTACATTCATCACAAGGTTGGTATTCTTTTTTGTTTTCAATAATGAGAAACAACAATATCTAAAAACCAAGAAATCCCTTGCCCTGTCCAAAGCCCCTTACATTAAAGGAAACTGACATCAGTTTAAAATATTGGTTCTCAACCTATGGGTCCCCAGGTGTTTTGGCCTACAACTCCCAGAAATCCCAGCCAGTTTACCAGCTGTTAGGATTTCTGGGAGTTGGAGACCAAAACATCTGGGGACCCACAGGTTGAGAACCACTGGTTTAAAACCTCATCTTCCCATGAGAAAAATTGTTCTGCCCCAAATCCCAGAGGATACAAGAGACAGCAATCCAGGTTAAAACCATTGCTTTCCATGGGATCCTGTTGATCTGCATAGAACCCCAAAGGATACAAGAGACAGTGATTTAGATTAAACCATTGCATCAAAGCCCATAGGATACAAGTGACTGCTGGCGGTTGGGCAATGAGACAGGACAGGAAAATGTGATGAGGTTGATTGCTGAACTTCCCTTCTTTCAGGACACTTCTGCCTCTTTTCAACCACGGAGGGCTATGCATGACTGCTAGATAGTTTAAACTTTAAAGCGTGGGATGAGTTCAGTGCCTCTCCATGTTTGAATAGAGGCTGAAGTGTCCTGCGACTGGGAAATTTCTCAGTGTGTTAAAGTGGTATGTCTCCTAAAGTTAACAGCACACTCTAAAACAGACATGGGCAAACTTCAGCTCTACACGTGTTTTGGACTTCAACTCCCAGAAATGCCAGTCAACTTACCGGCTGTTAGGAGTTGTGGGAGCTGAAGTCCAAAACACCTGGAGGGCCTAAGTTTGCCCATGCCTGCTCTAAAACATCTAGTATCTAGTGTTAGCAATGAGGAAGAAATGTAGAATATTAGACAAATCAAGAACCCTTTCACCTCTGAAAAAGTTATTGAAACTGGAAGGGAAGAGGGAAAGAGAAAGGAGGGAATAGAAGAGAGATAGAAAATTATTACAAGAAGCTAGTAAGGAAAATGGGTGAGATGACACTATGGGCACTTGGTAGGGAGAGAACTATCTTTTAAACCAGGAGGTAGAGATCTTGTTAATTTTAAGTGTTTCAAGGTCTTTTAAATGAAATCAAAAATTGAACAGGTCCTGAGATGAGAAACCCCTATCCTTCGAGATGTTCTGGATTACAACTCTCAAAACCCCTTTCCATTTACCATGCTGATCACAACTTTAGGGAGGAGAAGTTCAGAACAACTTAAAAGCTTCCCAAATATCTGCCTGAATTCCAGAAACCTCCAGTATAGATAGAACTTACAGGTACTGCAAATCATAGCTATCCATTCTAACTGTGATGTCAAACAAATGGGGATTTCTTGTTAAAGAAGGATTTAGCCTTCTTGGATAAACTGCCCGCTTTGGAATAAGCAGTTCCCCTCTCCTTCCTACTCATGTTATCCTCCTAAGGAGATAAGAGTCAGTAACAAGTCCATCCTTAATTGACCTCAGGATCTTGAGTGATCTTGACCCTGAACTGCAGTAGGTGAAATATCCAAGTAACAGAACCAACAAATCAGTGAGATAAAAGAGAAAGGGTAACATTTCAAAAATATACATTTTCCTACAACAACATTGCATATTAATTAAGGCACTATCTCATGCATTCCACAATAGACAAGCAGCCAACTATGGCAATGTCACATCAACCATTACACTAGATCTTTCAGTAAGAAAAACTATATGTGAAGGCCTGTTCACCACAATATCTACTGTCATACATAAAATACATAAATAAATAAAAACAAGAAACATCTGGTCATATTCTGTTTCTTATTTTATGTATTTTCAAGTCATGAACATGGCCATATAGCCCGAAAAACTCTACAACAACCCTATTTTCAAGTCATTTCTGATTAATGGCTAACCTATCACAGAGTTTTCTTGACATAATCTGTTCAGAGAGGGTTTGGCATTGCTTTCCTCAAGGGCTGAGTGAGATTTACCCAACATCAACCAGAAGGTTTCCATGGCCAAGCAGAGATTTAAATCCTAAATCCAGCATGCAAACCATTACATCACATGTTTATACACAGACCTGTTTAATAGGAAGTAAATTCTTTCAAACTCAGTTCAGTATTTGTCCGGGTAACAATATTTTAATTCATAAAGAGTAAAAAAATACTACACAACACTTAAGTGGTTTCTGGATTATTTCATGGTTTTACCCTGAAGGTAATCAGATGATAACTAAGTTTAGAGTTAGTTAGGTTTATTGTTAGTCCTACATGAAGATTTTGACAGAAAATGACCAATGCACATATTAGCCTTACTTGTTAGACTGATGAGACTTTATCAGTAAATATGCACTATTAAAAGCAAAGTTTTCTCTGCATAAAGACACATCAACCCTGAAATGAAACTATGACTAAAATTCTAAGCATAACCTCACTAAGTTTGTTTACCTTTTTGCCACACATTACCTGAAAGTCAATAAAAGTAACTTCCCAGAGCTTGGCTGCATCATTGGCAGAACTGGGCGTTAGGAGTGCATCATATCTCTGCAAGTTGCTAACGTGTTCACAGTGATAAGAATAAATGGCTGGTGCATGAATTCGTGTTGCGTTGAATGTTGCTTGTACAGAGTGGTTGTAAATAAGCTGGATTTGATGCAAGGTAAACCAGTTCTGGATAGAGAGTTTGTAATAACTGTTTGTCAGTATGAATCTGAGAAGGGGAGAAACAAATCAGAAAGAGAAAAGAAATATTTTAATAGCCACAATAAATCTCAGCACACCATCCTGTTTTTAATTAAACTGACATACTAAATGTATTTTATCATTGCATGACATTTCTTTGTCAAACAAAAAAAAAGCTACTCTTTTTCTTCCTTGATTATTCTATTATTTCTGCAGAATGATCTTTGGAAAACAGCCATAATGCTCAAGATTATTGTGAAAAAGAGAAGTAACAAGAACTTGTATTATATTTGTAAGTCCTCTTATATCAAACCAGCATCAAACCTAATGATTTAGAATATGCTCTCAAAAGAGAAGCTGAGAAAAGTTACCTTTTGGATCACAATTTCTAGAATCTCCTGATTAGCATGAAGATTCTGGTTTGATGGTCCAACCAATAACTTTTCGGGGTTCTAAAAATCACTGACAAAAGTAGAAAGCTAGAAAGAAGAGGGTTAGTGTTACTAAATTTGCATTTGGGGCACGATGCCCATTTAGTTTATTTTCACGTTTGTGGGTTTTGTTTGAACTGCTCCTGATTATTCGTGCAGTCGCTTCCGGCTCTTCGTGACCTCATGGACCAGCCCATGCCAGAGCTCCCTGTCGGTCATCACTACCCTCAGCTCCTTCAGAGTCAAGCCAGTCACTTCAGGGATACCATCCATCCATCTTGCCCTTGGTCGGCCCCTCTTCCTTTTTCCTTCCATTTTTCCAAGCATTATTGTCTTCTCTAAGCTCTCCTGTCTTCTCATTATGTGGCCAAAGTACTTAATCTTTGCCTACAATCTTTGCTACTATAATGTATGTGTAAAATGTCTTTGATTTAGATCTTGGAGACTTGGCATCTATTTCCACACCCAACTTGAAAGTTGTGTTACACTATCTTAACTCCTTTAATTATTAAAACAATATACATTGTGAAATCAGTTGTGTTCAAGGATCCAGTCCAGATGTCTTAATAAATGTGAGATAGAAATTACTGAAAAGTTCCTCATGATCTAGAAATTGCCTTTAAAACAACTAAGAAATCCATAAAACAATGTGGACTGTACCATTCATTTCAATGGACAAGGGCGAGGCACACAATTAATTCTCCACAGCAAATGAATGGGTCCAGAATATGTCCTGGATGTTGTATTTTGAGTATGTATGTATCTTTTAATCAACCACAACATGTTCCTTCATCACCAGGACTACATAGCAGAACTTCACTGCATCTAAGCAAAGGGTCGCAATCAATATTATCTTTGCTGACCCAGAGGAAAACATTCCTGCAGTGATAAAGAGGTTAGAGTCAATTACCCTTCCAGCTCTAAGATTATATGACTCTTGGGGCACTTTCAGTATGTACAAGGGTTTTTTTTTGACACAGTATGATTAACTTTTTACATAATTTTTTGACTCTATGACAATTTTTATAGGTTCTGCAACATAGATGTGCCAAGATCCCACACATAACACACAAATTTACACAGAGAATGCATACTTGAAAATGGTACCTGATAATAAATCCCTTTAAATGGTCGATGTCACCAAAATTTAGTGAAAGCCTAGAGCAAAAAAGAGAAATGTCAGATTAGTCTTTAAAAGGTAAAGAAAAGGTAGAGGGAATTGAAAAGTAAAGATAGTTGAATGAGATGTCCCAAACAATCTAACATTTCTGCACCATCTTCCTCAACTTTCTACCTTTTACTTCCTCTAATCTTGGTCCCTTTTCCCAACACCTATCTTGCCCCACAAATTATTTCTTTGTTTCTAGAGGAGTAATAGGATTCCCAGAGCCTTCCAAATGGAGATAACACTTCCATATCACTTTAGTCTTATGTTGGCTGGAGCTACTAGGACGTGAAGTCCAACATCAGAAAAGGCATACGATTCTCTTCTCAATTCTATGGGCTATGTATGGTTTTTATCTCAGACAAATTGGCAGAAGCTTCACTGATTTGTCTATCTTTGCTTTGATTATATGCTAAGTCTTACATTGCATTTTCTTCACTGCAGTTTGAATCAGCAACATCTACAGTTGCATGAATCCCAAATGTTCTATCTGTTAGGTCCAGCTGAGTGTGATTCTGAAACTTAATCATAATTCTTCTGGCCCAAAACAGAATACAGGGACTTCCATTGACCGTCACATTGAGAGGGTTGTAGTGGCTGTGAATGACCGACTCTCTCTCCGAAATCTCCTTGCTGCTCATACTGTAATTCACAACCTGTATACAAACAAGTAAAACACTTAGAATTACAATTCTAATTTTTCAAACAAAACAGTAAATAAGTAAATATGTAATCCAAATATGTTTGAATATTTACACAAACGTATTCCTAGTTATTTCAGCATGGATTTCACAGCAATTGGCTTGTGGAACCCACTAAAGGTTGAACTTATTTTAACACAGAGATAAAAAGGTAGCCTTAAAGTGTTTGGGTGACTAATAACCTCAAAATAAGCATTGTAGAATGTTTAGAGCCTTATTGGGGGACAGAGCCCACAGGAGCCATCAGACCATGTTGCCTGTGCCTCTGCCCCCAACTGGCTGAGAGAAGGACCCTCCCTCCAGGTGCCAACTGCCCCCCTCATCCCAACTGCCCCCATTCCAAATGCCCCCCTGTGCCCCCTGCCCCAAATGACCCCAACCCGTGCCAACTGTCCTCAGCCTTCCCCCGCCCCCTCCCTCCCAGCAGGTCTGGCCTGCCTGCCTCCCCCTGGCCAGCCATCTGGCCCTCATCCAAAAAAGTTTACCCATGCCTGCTATAAAATGTGAGTGTCTAAAATATATATGGGAAAGAAAGCACAATTTTTCAAAAATATATAGGAGAGCATCTTTTAAATATTAAAGAATGTTTCCTTAGTAAGTCAATTTCTGGAATGCTGTCAAAATAGTAAATACAGCCAGCCCTCCACATCCATGTATTTTGCATACTATGGATTCAGGCATCTACAGTTTGAGTTTTTGAATCCAAAAAGCAGAGCCTAAATCCACCATTTTATTAACAGACACCATTTCACTAGATTATTAGATATAATTGGATTTGAGCATCCATGGATGTTGGTATCCAAGGGAGATTCTAGAATTAAACTAGTGTCCTCTATATTAGCAGAAAGTAATCTTTATTTAAAAGAAGAAACAAAATTGATTTTACAATTAAAATCTTAGGTTTTGGAGTTCTTAGAGAACTAAATGAAGATGATATCCTCCCAATTTTGCAAAAACACAGAGAACTTTTTCTAGCCTGATTGCACGATATGTCCTTGAAGGCTATCTCACGCCCCATTGCTTCTCTCCTGGCCATCTGCTATTTTTTTACTGCTATTTTTTATATAAACCTTGGCTCTGGTTCTCTAGTAAATGGAATAAGATTTATCAGCTCCAGAAGTTTCTGCTATTCGATTGCACATTGGTATGTTAGGCGTTAAGCAGTATATCAAAACTTATTTTACCTAGATGTTATTATATAATTATGTGTTGTCTTTTTGATTATTAATTTTAGATTTCGGTTTGCATTTATTTTTATGTATCTCACAAAGAAGGCCATTTAAATATATACATAAGCTGAAACATGTTGAGCTTTTTCCCAAATAAAAAATAAAGACCATGTACTGAGCATTCATAGATGTATCTCCTCTTTTTTCCTGTGGATTTTGTTGTTTGCTCTCCAGTACTTGCCTCTTCACTAAAATCCCATCCCTCGTGTTCACACAATTTGCCTTTTCTGTCAAGGGACTTTTTGCCAGAAAAAAAGCTAATCTTGAAAGAACTGAACAACTACAGGCCAATGTTTAGAACTCTGATTTTTATGGGTACGTGCAAATATTTATACTAATACAAGTAGACCCCATGTTGTGAACAAGATAGATTCTGTAGGTTTGTTCTTAAGTTGAATTTGTATGTAAGTCAAAACAGAAACATTTAACTTCAGCTATTAAAAAATAAAATTGGATAGCATAGGGAAAACTTAACACCCCTGTAATGTTTTATTTTGCTTTCTGTGCTCCTGTTCAGAAGATTTTACCTCACTTTCTGTCCCTGTGACAACTGGATAACTTACATGAGTGAATTTCCCTTCCTTGGGGTAGATTTCCTCTCATTTCCTATTGTCTCACTCCCATATGTAACTAGGAGTCAGATCTAAGCTGTTGTTTGTAACTCACAGACTGCCTATATAACTTTCTAGTGCCCAAAATATATACCATATTGTAATTCTGAGCCTCCTCATAGTTACTTTACAAAATTCAATATTATGATGAACATTGAAATCAGTTCAGTTTCCTGGTACCCCATACCTGTGTAATTGCTACTTGTTGTAAATTAAGTTTTGGCTTCACACTGCCATCATATCGTCGGCCTGCAGAAGAAAAACAGTATGAAAAATGTTATCTGCAGCTTTACACAACAAGAAGAAATACTGCCTATAAACCATTGTCTTTTCTACTATACATATGCATTAAAGTGAAAGTCAGTAACATAGAGTTCAAAACAATGGAATGTATTACACAGGAAGGGTTATATTTGAAGGAGCTTCAAATGTTGAGAGCAACAAAGGTAACAAGAGATAGTCATGAGGGTAAAGTTCCTATATACATCATTTCTGTATTCTCTCTCCTTGGAGAATAGAGAAGAACATTTACATATATCTTTTGCTAATCGTCCTTGAAACAGAGAAGGCAAGCAAAGCTGGCCTTTTAAAAACACAAGCACTTTTTATACAGTGCAGCCTCACAAGTCAATTTCATTGCAAACAGGAGCTCAAAAAGACCCTGAGAAACCCTCTCTCCTTCTTCACCTATTCCACTATTCTCAGGACATTATAAATTATCCTTTGCCCATCCACCTCATCTTTCAAATATCTTGATAAAAGGAAGAGTCTCTATATCAGCTGTGTCCAAACTTTTGGCTTCCTTGAGCCACACTGGAGGAAGAAGAATTGTCTTGGGCAACGCACCACCATAAAACAGAAGCCACACATGTATACAAATAACAAAAACATACTGCATGTGGTCACATTATGTCTCAAACAGAATATACACTTGAATTCTTTTTTTTTTTTTTTACAATTCATTTTACATGACATTGAAATAGAGTCCTTTTGCTCTTTTCTTTAATAGATAATGTTCACTGGGTTTTTTTTGTTTGTTTCTTCTGGCCAAACTATTTGTAATTATAATGTGAATCATGCTGATAGTTATGGATGTAATATACTCTGACTATTCCACCACTCCATTCCATTGATGTTTGCAAAGTTTGCACTTGAGACTCATGCAATCAAGTTATTAAAAATGTCATAATGATTTAAGTAATTTCACAAATTTGTGCTAGGCCATGTACAGAAGTGATTATAATAATATGCTTATAACTGTATTTGTGTTTGCATTGGTTGCCCTAAGGCTGGAGCGGCCTAGCTGTGAGGAGTGTGTTACCATGGAAACGATGCTGCAGAGGAGTGGGAGGAGCTTAGAGAAGAGTGTTTTTTGAAAAGCGACAGTTAAGAGTCAGTCAGGTTTTAGGCTCAGAGGAGTGAAGAGTGAGGTTAGGAGGAGTGAACAGTCATGTAGAGAGAAAGTGGGAAGTAGAGGAACAGTGTTCGTGAATAGTTAGAGATTTCTTCAGTTAGGAAAGCTGAAGGGGAAAACCTTATTAGTTTCTTTAGTTAGAAAGAACTAATAGAGGCTTGTTTAGATCACTAGTTAAAAGAACTAGAGATCTGGTGTTTGATCACAGAAGAATCAAACAGGGAGACTATTCACCACAGAAAACATTGTTTAATAAAGTGCTTCACCACAGCAAGAGTTCTATAAGTTGTAACATCGGAAGTCTGAACTGTATCGCAACCAAGTTACATGTAACGTTCTCCAAGTATTTGCCAAGCTTAACATCAAACTGCAACCATACGCTTTGTTACAAAATAAACTTGTTCTCTTTGGTTTTTAAAACTGCCTCATCTCCATTAATTCTACGTTCGGTGTACCCAATCATACAAAATTACCTCACAACACAAATAGGGTGGCATCCAGTGGTATTAATACAAGAGCCTTTTACAAATCGGTGGCTCCTCTCTCCTAAACCTAAGCACCTCTTCGCAATTTGGTGGTGGCTCTTCGCAAATTAGCGGCTTCGTTACAAATTGGTGATAGTAGGTTTTACAAATTGGTGGCAGACGACGGGATACGTTTAACAA